GTAAAACAAAGCTCAAAGATGAACATATACTCATAATTTATGTTCGTATTTTATATAACTGTATATGTATAAAATTTAACATCTCACAACTTTTTTGGGCAGTCTCAGAGATTGTAGGCTTATCAGTTTAAATGCTGAGCTATGGCAATATTACTTACAACAATCCATAACAAGCCTTAATTTGAGATTAGTTTGCTCTCTGCCTGTGAACTCTTCTCATTGCTGTGGGACTTGAATCCAAATGAAATATTTCAGTGGGTAACCAGTTCAACAGTAATTCAACGGAAGGTAGAGGAAAAATTATAATGAATTAATAGTTGCTTCCCCCCTCCCTTGTCCCTCTTAGTGAGTTTTTAGCCCCTGGTTCCTGTGTCTCCCTTGAAAACAAAGTTAACAAGACACTATGAACATATCTAACTGATTCGACAGTTGCCATCAGTTCCATGCCTCAGGTTAATGAAAACCAAGTGCTCTCAAAGACTTAAGAGAAACCCATTGCCTAAGATCTATCCCACCAAAAGGACTTACAGGGCAGTTCTTAAACTCAGGCGGTGAAATGTTTTGACAGTAGAAGAAAGAGGCCTTGGAACAGCTTGAATCTTTACTACTGTTCATAGAAAAGTTTGGAATTTTCTTATCAAGATTATTCCTGAGCTCCAGGTAATGGCATGAGAACTGCAAACTTTGTTAAAGGCTGTTATGGTCTTCTACACAACCCATTCAACATTCAATCAACTTCCCATTTTAAAACTGCAGCCTTTAAAGCTGCTGGTTGGATTCAATTATGAGGGGAGAAGGCAAGAAAGAGGAAAAAAGTAGATCTGAAGTTTTCTAGAGGGCAAGGAGGAAAAAAAAATCATGCCTAGCAGGAGACAGGTTACATACATTTGTTCTTTTTCCGGTAAAACCTTAACACTGCAGTACTGTTTGAGCCTGGGTATCTCCCAGGTTAAATATCCTACAGGTTAAATACAGGAAGCACGCGGCCTCGTGGGCAGCAATCCGAGCAGAGTATTGCTGCTCCACCTGAATCCACATCAGCCCAAAACAGCACTCTCCAAACCAGCAAACTGCCTGATCTCCTGGTGTAGGGCAAACTCTACAGCTCTGACTCTAATAGAAAGCACATGACAAGGTCAGGGGATGCCCATGTACACCGGAAAAGCCTTTTTCCTTATCTTCAATGAAGCAGTTCAAAATATTGATATCCTGTCTTAAAAACAATCTGCTCTTTACTGAGACCATCCACCTGCAGTTGTGAGACAAGTGTTTCTGCAGTGACTCCTGCAGCACAGGGAAGAACCAGCGATGGCCACTAATGCCAGGATCAGAACGTGACATGCCAATTCCACTCCTAAGTCCTGCACGCATATATTAACATGTAGATATGCTACCCCCTCATAATTTTGAGTTAACAAATGTTTGTTAAAAGAAAATACACTGAAGCCTAATTTGAAAAGGAAATACAATATTCTCATAAACGTATTCATGAGAGGCAAGGAGCTGCATAATAGGCATAGAAAACATAAAAATATGCAATTTACATATATTACACACTAATAATCTCTGTTCTGACATTATATTTAAAGAGCTCTGGCTGAGATGGCATGCTTGCAGTTGAGTTGCTTTTTCATGAAATACAAACAAGGACACTCCAGGCTATCAGCTCCCCAAGACATTAATCCCTGCATTTTTCCCCCACAAAAGTCAACCCTGTGCAGGTCTGCAAAACAGAGGTTCTCTCACCACATCCATGTAGTAATGAATAAACCACATGAACAATCAGTCATCTGGAGGAGATCTGCAGATCTTGCCTTGATGTTAAATAGTGCTGAATATTAACAAGGTGGAACTCTTTCTGTTCTCTTATTCTTTTAAACAAGACCAACAACACTTTTAATACCTAGTGTGCAAGACAGGTATCTTATGGAGCATTCTGCTTCCTAAAACTGACCAAGACACACCATCCCATTTCACCTCCAAATTCAAGGCTAGCATAATAAAAATAAAATTATACCACCCTAGCTGTTTTTTCTTGTTATCTGCCTTCACACAGTGTGTGCCTTAAACAACATGTTTGTCCATCATATTCAAGAACAAAGTTAGAATGGAACAGTCCTGCATGAAAAACAAAGCTCCCCCACCAGTCTGTGTGTCAGACCCTCATTTGCAATAAATCACTGTCAAAGGGGAGAAGGAGGTTTAACTCTACTAAGAATATGATCCCGTGAATCTTACTATTACATTTTGTTCTGCACATTCTGAGGGTGGGCTTTTTTAAATTACAAAAGATTATCTGGGCTCCAGACAAACTCCTCCTCTAAAGTCACCATAAATTCAGCTTTGCACTCAGTTTGTCCAGAGCACTTGCCTGCAGGAGACACATGAATGGGTGGAAACATTACGTAAATTGCTCACACACCCAGATTTATTGTGGTCAAAAATCCACTAGTTAGTAAAAAGACCCTCTTTCTGTCTCATCTAAATTCCACGCACACAGGCAGGGCACTGCAACATGCCCACTTAGCAGGAAAACTCCCATTTCTCTTCTTCAGGAAACCCCCAATGCAGAAATGGCTTTTGACCTTCCAGACACTGCTACCTCAGCTGCTCAGTCAGCCCCCAGAGCCCCAAGGAAGTGTAGTGAGGGGCTCTTCCAGAAATGAGGCTGCAACACACCCCACAGCTAAGGGGCATTTCACACGCTAACGTTGTGACCTGCGTGACCAATGGCTGAGGCTCCTTTGGTCAGAGGCTTCCACTGCATTACTAGCCCCACAATTTCTTGCATGTCATTTACATATTTGAGACTCTATCACTCTCTTATATAGACACAAAGTTTGGGTATGTCACTTTAGCTCTACATTTTGTATGTCTCTATGTCATTGTTTAGGCACTGATTTAGAGGATGTGTTGGTAACACCGCATGAATTTAGGTCTGGGTTTTTTGTTTGTTTGATGGGAAGATCTTCACCAGTCAGTGATGGCAATTAGTCAGTTGCCAAGAGGCTGTTCAAAATCCAAATGAATATCATTTCCTCTATGCACTGAGTGATGAACTCATGATGTCAGTTTTAGAGGGATCAGCTTCCTCCTAAACATGCTGGTAGAGCTGCTGGACACTGCCAGGAGCTCTAAGCACTGGGACAGATGAAGGTTTCAAAAGCCTAAGAAAAAAAAGCCCCAAAACAACAGAAGTTTCATAGCATAAAGACTGGGCTGAGTGTAAAAAAGCACAGTAACTGATTAAAGTCATCTAATCTGCTCCAGGATCTCCTTTTGATTATATCAAACCTCAAATCAGCAAGACTTTGGTGGGAGGAAACCTGGCCTCACTTTTCTGTCCCATTTTGCCCAGCCATCACAAGATTTCTTTACTGTTGCACTCCAGTTCTGTGTCACAGACAATAAAAGCTTTGTGAAAAGAAAAAAAAAAATCACATTCTCCACAAGCAAACCAACACACATTTAAACTGATACTAACAACTACTTTTGATAGATTAACATTGAATCCCGGCTAGGTATTTTTGTCAAAATTGTGGAAGACTTGTGCACTACCAAACTAGGGACTAAAAAAAAAAAAAAAGAAAATGAAGCAAAGAATATAATGTAATGGATTTTGTTGGAGATTGCATTTAGAAATCAGAATTCTTTTAAACAAAAATCTATTCAAGTCTTGTTGGAAGTACATCCGTTTGTTTTTCTGTTGGTATTTTTTTCCTGAGGTTTCAAGCCATAAAGTTTTGTACCCCACTCTATGCTATAGGAATCTGTGAATCTTAATTACATTTACCGTTACAAAAAAGGGTTTATGAACTTTTGCCTTTGGGCAAAAATGTTTATTTCATTGCCTTTGTTATTCATTCTTTTCAACTCCAGTGCCTTTGAACTTTTCAGCTGCACAGAGTTATCACCGTTGCACAGGAACCAGGAACTGTACTCCCGAGATGCAAACCACAAGTTGAAGAAAACGAAGGAGGCAAAGATATATGAGTCGTTATTTTGGCCACCCTTTGTGCCATTAAAATCTCATTTTCTGCCTATTAGAATGCCCTCTCCCTGCTTAGGCAGTGGTGATAGTCAGTGATTAGTGTGTAATTGACTATAATTGTCTTTTCACTTTTCATTTGTGTCATTCTGAGCTTCTCTCTGTTTTTCTAACCACTGAGAGGAAAAAAGGCTAGAAAGCAGATAAAGCTGTTAAAACTCTCACTTTGAGCCCTGAAGAGATTCCTGATTGTAATTATAGATTGCATCCTCTTTGTGAGTCCTCGGAATTCAGTGGTCATCTCTTCCCAAGCACCTGGGCAAAGCTGTCCCTAAGAAAATAAACTACCAGCTATTCAAGCTTTAACTAATAATGTCAGCTTCAGACAGATGCCGCATGTAGGAAAATTTAACCAACCTTTTGACACTCAATTATCAAGGCAATTTATTAACATGATTTCCTAAAAAGATCTCACGCAAATTAGAAAAACAATTATGGTGTTCATGCATTTATATATTGCCAAAGAGCAGCAATACTCCTAATTTATGTATTTATAACTCGATTATAGCTGATCTCAATGCACATCTCAGTCCTTGGAACTCTCCTCGTACAACTGGCTTGCAATTTTCCAGGACCATTGGGTAAAACCATGATGAGGTTATCTTAAAGAGATATTTTATTCCCAGAAAGGCTACAAAATCTACTTTCTGTACCTTAGCCATGTATCTTCAGGAGAAGAGCAGTATGACAACTGAATGCAAACATGAAGTCTGCATGATTACGTTATAAATCAGTTGAAATGAAATAAGCTATGACTCTTGATTCAGCCAGTAGGAGGGGGAAAAAAAAGTTTACAAAAAAAAAAAAGAAAACTAGCAAACTGAAATCATGTGGCTTATATAAAGAATACATTATGGTTTAAATTTGGCAATTCATTATACTGTGGCCTGAGGGAATAGACTCTTTGGTTCTGGTATACAGCAAATCCTCTGTCTGAAAACACAGGACTGACCTGAGGTGAGAGGCCATTGCCAATGGCAGGGTTCATGGGATTTGAGGGCCCAGACGGAGGCACAAAGCTGTCTGTATAGCTGGAAAATCCATGCCTGGTGCTGGGGAGGCAATAGGCAGAGCTGCTCTCTGGATTTGAAGGGAGGCTGCTTTGGTGTACAGTGCTTGGAGGGAGAGGCTGAGGTCTGTGGACAGTACTGCTTGGATCAGACACGGCTAGAAAGAAAAGAAACATGTTACTATACTTTCCTCCTTTAACTCTGGCATGCTAAGTTCATTACCTGATGCTCAAATTGACAGACTTGCATCAGAAACTGCATCTAAATACTGATTAAGTAGAAAGGTAAATCTTTAATATTGCTAGATATTTTCCCAGCCTCTAAGATTAAACAAACAGTGAAAATCACAACAACAGACACATGCAGTTTTCAGACAATCCTCAGCAATATTATATTTTTATATGTTTATATATATATATA